CGATTTCTGGAGGCAAGTTGTTCCACAGGTTAATTGTCCTCATTGTTAGGAAGTTTCTCCTTAATTCCAGGTTGCTTCTCTTTTTGGTCAATTTCCAATCATTGTTTCTTGTCCTTCCCTCTGGTGCTTTGGAGAATAACTTGACCCCCTCTTCTTTGTGGCAGCCCCTCAAATACTGGAACACTGCTATCATGTCGCCTGTTTCTTCTTTTCTTTAGACTAGCCAAACCCAAGTCCTGCAGCTGTTCTTTGTATGTTTTAGTCTCTAGGTATAGGTAGTCCTCAATTTACAACCATTCATTTAATGACCATTCAGTGTTGCAACAGCACTGAAAAAAGTGACTTATGAACATTTTTCATACTTATGACCATTGCAGCATCCCCATGGTTATCTGATCAAAATTTGGATGCTTGGGAACTGGTTCATATTTATGCTGGTTGCAATGTCCCGGGATCATGTGATCGCCTTTTGGGAACTTCTGACAAGTCAATAGGGAAGCCAGATTTACTTAACAAATGTGTTAGTAACTTAACAACTGTGGCAAGAAAGGTTGTTAAGTGATTTACTTAACAACTGCCTTGCTTAGCAATGGAAATTTTGGGCTCAACTGTGATCATAAGTTGAGGATTATCTGCAGTGGCAGGGTTATGCTTATGTACGATGCTTAAAGAATAATTTCCTTTTTAAGATTCCCCAGAATGCATCCTTTCCCAAATTCTGTAGAAGCTCTGGAAAACCATTTTTTTTTTTGTTTGTTTCCTTCCTTCATTTAGAGCAGGCATGTCAAACTGCCGGCCCGTGGGCCGGATGCATCACACCAAAACTGCGCCCACCCCATTGCGATATGTTGCGTGACGTCACATGATGTCGCGAGTTTGACATGCCTGATTTAGAGTCAAAGCCATGGGGACTTTTCCTGAAGTATCTAAAGCACAAGGATTGTTAGAGGTGAAAAGCTATCCTGAAGTTAGAATACGAGACAATATTTCCCAGGCCAGAAACCCAGAGGAAATGGAATAAGAAATCAGTGTAAAGAAAGATTAGAATCAAATTCTATTTTACTTAAGGGACGGTACAAACACTTAACAAACTTATGCCAAATTTGGAGGGTACTTGCAGCACCTGTCATTTTAAATTTTAAAATTGATAAAAGAAAAACAGGAAATATTTAAGGCTATATGTTCATGTGACACCTTCTGTACAATACTGACTATTGCAGAACATCAGAGAGAGGGAAATACTCATGTTTTACCAACAAGGATGTATTGTTCACCAGATTATCTTGAACTAAAACATCAAGCAAATATGGCTAATGGCAGAGGATGCTGGAGGTGTTAGTTAAGCAATATCATATCTGTATGTTGTCAGCAACAAGAATGCTTTATGCACAAAAATGGAAAGATATTTTAATTCCCACAATGGATGAAAAACTGATGGAATTAGCAGAGATGGTTAAATTGACTGCTTTAACCAAAGACAAGAACACATCCAATTCTGTTTCTGCTTGGAAACGGCTTCTGGGACTTTGTGCTTGAGATGGAAAAAAAATTAAGTTTGACTTTGGTCTTTGCTGATTAGATAAACTTGTTGAAATGGTTAGTATATATTAGTATGTAAAAATAAAAAGTTGAGGCTGCAATGTTACTATCTTAATGAAATTAACTATTTTAATTATTTTCTCTAGCTTTGTTTCTACATGGAAACCGTTTTTGGACTTTTTGCTCGACACTGAAAGAAATTCTATATTTTGGGATCTGATGATTAGAATTGTTTGATTATAGAAATACTGTACAATACTGAATTTTAAATCAAAAGATTGTTTTATATCGGTAAGTGTATTGAAGAAAGTTGGAAGTTACCTTTTTCTACTTTTTTTCTTATCCCTTTGTATTTTCCCCTTCCCATTTATTCCTTCTTAATTCTGTTTCCTTGTTTTATTATATTTTAACTTTTCCAGAAATTTAATAAACTATATTTTAAAAATTCTCTTTGCTCTGATCTATAGCTCTCCTTTTCCAATACCATAGTACTTGAAAAAAATAGAAAAGTTATTTGATCAAAAACTTTCTCTCTGGGCCTCTTCGGAAATGCCGTTGCATAGAAGACAGGAAATTAAATTCTTTTCATCCCAGGTAAAGAATGATGGAAAAATAACAGGAAGCAGCTTTTGGAGCAGAGCCCTTCTAACTTTCCTACATAATGCATTTCTATAAGTTAGGCAAAGCTTAACCATGACTGGGCAAGTCGTTGAGTGCAAAACAGAGCATAACATAGGGTGTCACAGGGGTCCCTGGAACTTGCCCAGTGTCACCCAATATGTGGTTGGGTCATCAGAGTCATTCAGTGTTCAGGAAAGGTAAGAGGACCTAGGGATCTTCTGAAAAGTGGTGCATGTTCCAGAAGATGCTTAAGATGAGGCTGCCCCCTAGTGGCAGTGTCTTATTCTTCATCCGAATGAAGCATTAGGTGGGCAAGAGATTTTGGCTGAGATTCAGAATCTAATGTTATCGCTCAGTTTATTTTATTTATACTTATCCAGCCTTCATTTTTAACCAATAATTCAAGGTGGCAAATATATCTAATATTCCTTCATCCTATTTTTCCCCACAACAACAACCCTGCGAGGTGAGTTGGGCTGAAAGAAATTGACAGCCAGTTTTCATCCTTAAGGCAGGACTAGAACTCACAGCCTTCTATCTTCTAACCTGGTGCCTTAACTGCTAGATCAAACTGACTCTCTTATCCTTGTGATGATCCTTGTCTTCCTTACTGTTAAATCACAGCAATACTCTAGTTAAGCAGTGCTATGAGAGTCCAGAAATCACTAGGGAGGAAATTAGAAGCATTTTACTATTTGCTTTTAAGAACAAAAGTCATAACTGTGCACCATAATTACTGCAGAAGCCACCACAAGTAGCTAAATGAGCTGTTTTCAGGATGCAGTTTTCAAAAAAAATAAAGAGTGCCAGAAATATCACTCTCCATGTGCTCCAGAAATCTTTTAAGACTGTTTCCTGGTCTGGGGTTATTGTTTATGGAGCTCCTGTCAACTCTTTTAATATTGTCTTTTTATTATGTTTCTAACCATGTTTTTAAATGATGTGTAGCGTTACCCCCTCAAGGGCCACCAAAGTCCAGGCCTTCCTAGCCTCCCCCTTCGGTCTCACTCCCAGTCGCGCTCTCAAACGTTGGCAATGTCCTTTTGGAGGGAGTGAAGAGATGACAGGTTCTCTGGTCAAGGGATTCACAGGAACAAAGATGACCAACCCCCAACCACAGCAGTCAGTACCTGACGGTACTTAGCAGCCGCAGCCCCGAGCAGTCGTGGCAATAATAGTCAGTAGTTTATAGTAGCCATTTGGGACGCAAAAGGGGTGGGGAGATCCTCTGGCTCCAGGCAGCAGCGGGAAACACAAATGGGGACGGTCGGCGCTCCGCAGCCACAGCTCACTCCACAGAGGCAGTTCCCCACAGTATCTACACTTACACTGGTGATAATAAGCAAAGTTTGGATGCCCGCTAGTCCCTGAAACCACAGCGACCAGCTTCTCCTTTCCTTTTGTTGATGCTCGTAGTCCCAGGTCTATGACAATTTCCCTTCCCCCCCCCTTCTTTATTGTTAAAATCTGAATATAACACACCAGCACACTTTCTCTCTCTCCACTCTCTCTCTTTCCTCCGCTCAGGATTTCCCCTTCCCCTGTGAAAGAAGCAATAAAACTCCACTCTCTCACTCTCTCTCTCTCTTTCCCTCTCTCTCTCTCTCTCTCTCTTTCCTTCCCTCTCCTTTAGAGAGAGGGAATCAGCTAAAACCCTCAAACTCCTCTTCGGCTTCACTTGGTCTCTCCCTGACTACAGCAACAACCACCCCCACCCCCTTTTCTCCTTTTCTCGGCTAACCCCGCTACAGATGTATATGAGATATTGCAAACCGTTCAGAGTGCTTTCGAGAAGATTCTTGACTGCAAGGAGATCAAAGCAGTCGGTCCTAAAGAAGATCCCCCCTGACTGTTCTTTGAAAGGACAGGCACAGAAGCTGCAGCTCAAATACTTTGGCTACCTAATAAGAAAGGCCTCTTTGGAAAAGACCCTGGGAAAGATTGAAGGCAAAAGGAGAACGGGACAGCAGAGGATAAGATGATTAAATAGTGTCGTTGGTGCAATGAACATGAATTTGGGCAAACACCGGGAGACAGTGGAGGGCAGCGGGGCCTGGCGTGGTATGGTTCACAGGGTCACGAAGAGTCGGACACAGTGACTGAACAACAGCAATAACAAAAGCTGTCCAGGGGCTTTTCAGAGTGGGACAACCTTTAAAATCCAATAAAGGAAGAAGTACTTAAATGTGTCCTGGAGGAGAAGGACACAGCCTGGGCTTCATTAAGTCTGTATATGGGTGCCTTCAAATTAGTATTGACTCCTGGTGACTGCCTGCAGTTTTCAGACTTGTTTCTGAAGTGGTTTGCTCTTGCCGTCTTCCTAGGACTGAGACAGGGTGCCTGGTCCAAAGTTACCCAGCTGGCTTTATGCCTAAGGCAGCTTTAGAACTCACAGCCTCCTGGTTTATAGCCTGATGCCTTTAGCTGCTACACCAAACTGGTTCTTATATTAACTTTACTCCTCGAGCTGCACTTTAATTAACCTGCTCTAGTGGATCAGCGGTTCCTAGGAGGCAGGTAGTGTTCGGTTTACCATTCCACTAATCCCCGATCGATTTATCCCTGGTTTATGGAAAAAAACAAAACCTACAGCGACCCGGCTTGCCAGCCACAAGGCCAGCCCCCAACCATGGTGCACGAACCGCAACAACTGGGGCGGCGCGTCAATGCAGCCACTTAACGCTGTGCGGCGTGTGGAACTCAGCGCTGAGCGCCGCGCAGCTCGGGTGCCGCGAAAGGAAGGGCACCGAGCAAAGCGGAGCATGCCGGGAATCGTAGTCCTTCCTGCCTCGCGGGCGTCACCAGCTGGGGCGGCCCGAGCCATTCTCCCGGTTCGCGGGATGCCGCCGGCGCCCGTGCTTTGCGGGAGCTGCGGGACTCAGCGCGCCGCACTGCGGCGCCCCAAGACCGGCCAAGCGCTGTGCCGGAGCTGCTTCGCGGCCGCCTTCGAGGCGGAGGTGCACGACACCATCGTGACGGCGCGGCTTTTCCAGCCGGGCGAGACGGTGGCCATCGGGGCGTCGGGCGGGAAGGATTCCACGGTGCTGGCGCACGTGCTGCGCCTGCTGAACGAGCGCCACGGCTACGGTCTGCGCCTGTTGCTGCTCTCCGTGGACGAGGGCATCGCGGGCTACCGGGACGACTCGCTAGCCGCCGTCCAGCGCAACCGGGGCCGCCTGGGCCTGCCCCTGCACGTGGTCTCTTACCAGGAGCTCTACGGCTGGAGCATGGACCGCATCGTCCAGCACACCGGCTCCAGGAACAATTGCACCTTCTGCGGCGTCTTCCGGAGGCAGGCGCTGGACCGGGGCGCCGTCTTGTTAGGGGCGGACAAGATCGCCACAGGTAAAAGGGCTGCGCCCGGGGACGGGGTGGTGGAAGGGTACGAAGCGCCTGTAGAAATCGGTATGTCTTGGAGCGTGTGCAGAACGCCGGGGAGGGGAGAGAAAAGACCGTCCCGCGCACCAATCGGACGATGCAATTCATAAATTATTATCTGTTTGATTCAATAGAATAGAATATATGTAACTCATATGTTGAATTGTGGAGTCCTTCGTGCTCTTTGAGCGCTGTAATTTACTTGCAGCAGCTTCATTATTGAACTACTAGGCGCTCTGATCTTGTTACCTAGTTGGGTAATGAAATGTCTGTAAGCAAATGACCAAGGACTCCACCTATCTGGTTATTGGAAAGGCCGCTGAGATTTTAGGAAAGGGTGCCAATGTTCAACCCGTTTTGAGTTTCTGCTTACTTTTCAACAGAAGTAAGTCCTATTGGTTTTACTGCTCCCAAGTAAGAGATTGCAATACGTGCATATGTTTCAGGCTTCAACCCCCATAAGCTGCAGCCAAAATGGCCAGTGGCAGGGATTGTGGGAGCTGTATTCAGAACATCTGGAAAGCACCGGGGTGCTTCAGTTAGTACAGTGGTGGCGAACCTATGGCACGGGTGCCAGAGGCGGCACTCAGAGCCCCAGTCCTAGGCCTTCAGCTGGGTTTTATAAAACTTTTTCGCTTTAGGCCTCCGCTGCCATGTGCAAAAAAACAAACAAACCGTTCAATCAGTCAATTTCAACTTCTGGGGGAAAAAAAAAGATCTTGCAAAGTTGGAATTGATTGATTGAACTTTTTAGTCCCACCCAGTCTGCCGTTACTACCGCAGCCACGCCCACCCAATGGGCCACGCCCACCCGGCACTCGAGGATGCATAAGTGGGGTTTGGGTTGCAGTTTGGGCACTCGGTCTCTAAAAGGTTCGCCATCACTGAGTTAGTAGATGGTAATGTTGTGTTTGGACAATGTGCTAACCATATTGTGGTTTGAGTTTACTTTGGGTTTGCTCCATTGTGTGAGCCCAGCCATTTATGATTTATTAAATAAATCATGGTTAAACATATGGGGATTAGTACGTTGTTTGTAATTATAAGATTAACTCTTTTAAAACTTAATCATGTCCTAAAGCTTTTGGAAAAATGGGGAACATTAACTTTGTTAGCATTATGAATAAGTACAGACATCATATTGAGTAATAGGGCAGTGTTTCTTAAGCTCAGCAATTTTAAGATGTGTGGATTTCAACTCCCAGAATTCCCTAGCAGGCCTGCTGGCTGGGGAATTTTGGGAGTTGAAGTCCACCCACCTTAGAATAGTTGAGGTTGAGAAATACTGTAGTAAAGTATCTAGTTTGGTTTGGATTGAGCATGTTGTGCGAATGCACCCTGATGTATAACTGAGGAATTTGTGAACCTGGCCAATTGTATCTCAGTGAACAAAGTGTGATGCTGAGCACGTGTAGAGTCAGGATTTTTTTTTCTTTATTTTCAGCTTCAGAACCAAGCCGAGCTTGCTTATTAAAAGACTTGGAGTTCCTTCTTTCTCAATGTTGCACTGTAATTTTGAAAATCTTCTAAAAGTCTTTGAGTTGCTAAAATTACTGCTTCCATGTGTATTATTGATCAGTCAAAGATTTGCTAGTAAACCCAGACCCACTTTCTGGCAGCTTCTGAGGAAGAGAGTTGAGTTTCCAGCTGACTCCCGTAAAAGAAAACTCAAAGCCTATTGGTCCATTTCCTCCACCCTGTCACACTTCTCTTTGCTTCCTAGGCCATAACGCTGATGACGTGGCCGAGACAATCTTGATGAATTTCCTGCGGGGTGACGTTGGCCGGCTTCAGCGCTGCGCTGAAATCCTGACGGGCGGCGAGGGAACCCTGCCTCGCTGCAAGCCGCTGAAGCACGCTTACGAAAAAGAGATCGTGCTTTATGCCTACTTCCAGGGCTTGGACTACTTCAGCACTGAGTGTGTGTATGCCCCCAATGCCTACCGGGGCCATGTCCGTGCCCTGCTGAAAGATCTGGAAGCTATCCGACCCAGCTCAGTGGCTGACCTGGTGCACTCGGGAGAGCGTCTGGCTGTCCGCAAGGACATTCGCTTGCCCGTCCAGGGCACCTGCCGGCGGTGCGGCTACTTCTCCAGCCAGCCCCTTTGCAAAGCTTGTGTGCTGCTGGAGGGGCTCAACCGTGGACTCCCTAAGCTGGCCATTGGCAAAACCAACCGCCTGCAGAAGGCTTTGTTGGAGGGGGAAAAGCAAGAGGCTGGTTTAGAAACAGAGGAGAACTCAAGGAAAGCAAACCGAATTGGAAGGACAATAGACTTCTGAATGCCCCTTTTTTATGCCCTCATTTCCTGGTCAGGTTTGCTGAGGTGGGATGGGATTTTTTTTTAAAAAAAGATTCTTAAGAATGAATTGCATAGATCAGGGAGTTGGGAAGCAACGCGCCCCCATCCCAGTTGCTGGACCACAAGTCCCAGCAGCATGGGCAAGGGCGATGGTTCTTTGGCAGCAATATTGCAAAAATCATTGGATTCCCAGCTGTGGTGCTGGTTACTGTCAGTGTGTTTGCACTAAAAGGGCAGGAACCACCACCTGTGCCGTCCTTGCCTCTTTGGTGTGTTGGGCTTCAGGCCCCTTCCTCCTCATTCAGCCTTTGCTACTGTTGGCTGGGGGTTGTGGAGACGGCCCACACATTTGGAGGGAGGAGGTTGTGGGTGAGGTTGCTTTCTGTGCATTGCTGCTGTTCCCAAAATGGTGGCTGCAGCCACAAGGTTAAGGGTGGCCTCTAGTTGCAGAAAAATGAGACCATCCTTCACAGAAAGGAGCTCAAGGTTGGGGCGGCAGATGACCGTTGTTGCCTTGCCTTTTTGTTCTTCCCATCTTCACAGATCAGCTCTCCAGGTGGTTCAACTTTCTGAGTGATCTAGAAAGTCAACAGTAACCAGGCTCATCAGTTGAGCTAAACCAGAGGTTCCCAACCAGGGGTGTGTGAGACGATATTCCAGGGGGTACAAAAACTTGGATTTTCAAAATTATAATGTATATGCATAATTCATTGCTGTTATTTCAAACTTTTATAAGGGATGCAAGAATATATCAGAAGTGTTCTAGGGGTGCGGGGTATAGAAAAGGTTGGGAGCCGCTGAGCTAAACTAAAACCATGGTTGTTGGCTGAGCTATGATTGAACAAATCTCTGAGGAAAGTGGCCGGCTTAGAAATATGAAATAAATAAACCATGACAAATAACAGAACTTTATTTTGGTCCTTGATCATTATAAAAATGCAATCAATAAAATGAACAACACAACAAAAACTCATTGGGTCCTCTGCACCCTCAGCATTTGGGTCCCCCCCCCAAAAAAGAGGGTAACTTGAAAGTGAAAGTTGAAAGGTAGCTCATAATTCTTTATGTCTAGTAGAATAATTTCCACCAGGGATAGATGATTCATCTAGGAGTCACCATCCTTCTGAGTTCAGTTTCAGGTCAGCCTATTTTGTTTGAAAGAAGACAAGCATTGTCAAGAAATGTTTGGCTGACACTGAAATTTAGGATTTTGTTACATGTATGTTTCTACTGGTCTTTGGCAAATGGAGTTGTCCTTATCAAGGTTCAAACTGCTGTGTAGTCTTTAAAATAGCAGATTTTTTTTTTGGATTCCTTAAAAAATTGCTTTGAATATAAATTGTTCCGAATTTGTTGCATCTCCCTTTTTAGCCACCACGCTACTGGCTATCTTGCACAGCTAGAAATACCCAGCCATTGCTTGCTCAGTGTCACAATTCTCCCATTTGCAATTTTGGATGGCGGTTGTTAAACATCCATATCTGACAGGCTGTGTCTCCGTGATTGTGAAGTAGTGAAAACCACAGAAAAGGTATTTGTTGCTCCTTTTGTAGACATTCAAATGTTGTCCTCCTCCTGACCATTAGATACCTCAATTTCTCACCCTCAGCCTATGCCCAGATTCTCCTTAGAGATGAACTACCATTTAGTATTACATCCTGTTGTACTATCATTCTACTTCAACCTTCAGCCCCTCATAAAGGAACTCCTAGGAAGAGACGACCACGGGAACTTACCATGACTATGGTTTGAGGACATCTGGGGATTCCCCAAGACCATTTGAGAGGTTTGCAAAATCAAAATTATTTGCCAGATATTGAAGATATTTGGGAACATTTAAAACAATGTCACTCTTCTCATTATTTTTCATTTGTTAAAAACTACTGTTTTTTTTCCCATGAACAATATTTTATTTACACTAATATCTAGTAAAGGGGTATCCAACCTTGACAACTTTTAAGACTTGTGGATTTCACTCCCAGAATTTCCCAGCCAGCATGTTGAAGTCCACAAGTCTTAAAATTGCCAAGATTTAACATCCCTGATCTAGTGGATTTAATACTGTGCATATTTATTTTTACATGATTCAAAATTCCACAAATGCTTTAATTTTAAATATAGCAAACATCCATAAATACAACATATGGATACAAAAGCTCATCCATCATTTTTAAAAGTGAGAAGGAAGTCTGAGGGTAAAAAATGGAAACACTTTTAGCAGAAAACACCACTCTCACCCATAATGTAGCTGTATTTTGTCTTGCTGCTACAAGAATGAGGCAATAAGCATCATCTAATAAAATTGCGTTTCCGTGACATTTTAAAATTTTCTATTCATTTCCTTTTCTTTTTTTAAACTCTTTAAATTGCTACTTTTTTGTATGTAGAATGTTTATATACATGTATAAATATATACACTGGCCAAGGACTGCAATAAAGTTTATATGGCTACCATTATTACAGCACACAGATTTTGCACAGCAGTGTGTAAAATCCACCGGGTCTTGACAGCTCAAGTTCCTACTATATATTATGTAACTGTAGCTATCACATTTTATGTAATTTTAGGTATTATTCCACTTATAGCCAGGCATAGATTGGATTACTATACACTTATGGGTCCAAGTCAGGCTGTTTTATAGATGCATTTTAATTTGGTTTTAATTTTTTATTTAATGGTTTCTTCAGCTAGACCATTTTGTAGGTGTTTACAGATCACTTACTACTACATTTCCTGCATTGGTCTGAGACTACGATAAAATGACTGACATACACCTGTACCAATGTTAGCTACAGCATCCTTTCCTGTGGAGGTCAGGAACAACACTGTGTTCAGGAACTGTTCCATGATAACATGGCAAGCAAATCAAGGGAAATTTAATGTAATGCCAATTGCTACAGTTCAAAGTGCATAGTTAACAAAGGAATGAATACCTCTCTATATTCACTATCCTAAAGCTTTCAATTTTCCTGTCATATCAAACTCTTCTCATTGAACCAATAGTACAAGGCCTGGGTGTAAAGCAAGCACTTTAGTGAGTCAGAAGGTAGAGAGGGGATTGGTTGGGCGGTGTCCTGGATTCAGAATAAAAATATGGGAATAGAATACATGGCTTAAGAGATTGTTTCAAGAGTAGCTTGGAATCAGCCTGGAGTGTGTCTTCTCATTTTACATACCATATTGAAGCTGCATAAGTAGGAAAAGGGGGAAATAAGCATAAATAAGGTCACAGCAAAATTGTACCTGGAGAAATTCACTCTTTGCCTCCCCCTCCAGGCTGCTACAGAAGGGATAGCCCTTCATTTTGGCTTTAATTGAGATAATTATGATTTCTTCTGCCTTAATGGAGATACCAGCATTATTTTTTTTAAATCCTATAAATTTAATAAAAAATTCACCTCTGTCCACAAGATTAACATTCAGTGGTTGATTCACACAATAAGCTAAAGCTATCACTCAAGTTAATAAACATCCTCCCTTCTGCAATAAAATAAATATCATGGCTTAACATATGTTTCTAGACTTGCTGCCAAAAATAAATTCCAGAACTATGAAATAAACATATATTCTTAATTTGGTCAGGAATACCATGTAGGAAAAGTTTATTTTTGAATATTGGTTTAATAATAGTTTTGCTAGTATTTTCTTGATAGTGTTTGTTATGCACTATTAATGTGGAATCATCTCCCTTCTGAAATTTGAAAAGTGTTTGTTATAGAATTTTTTAGTCACCTGTTAAAAATTCATCTCTTCATTCAAGGCTTCCTGTTATGAATATTTTAAGAACATTTGCCCTCTTCAGTGTTTTAATAAATATTTAATTTACTAAATATTGTTTCATATCATTTTAATGTATTGTTTTACTGTTTTAATTGCAAATCATTAAATACTTTGGCATAGGAAACAGCATATAAATACATTAAATACAATTGATATTTTATTTTCTCCTTAAGCCTTGCATTTTAAAAAGATTTTATAGATGAAACCAATTAAAAGAACTTTAAGGCAAAAAAAAAAATCTAATCACTGAGTAACAAAGATTTTCAGAAATCAGCAAAAAAAAGTATTTTCTCCTGAAAACTTAAATAAACAATTAGTAGTAGAAAAAGAGAAAAATTAAGGCCGCAGTTAAAGCCTTAAAGCCTGTAGTGTAGTTAGTTAAACATTTAAAATATTTTAATTGAAAAGGAAAATATTCTTATAGCTCCAATAAGAAATACATATACAATTAGTTCCAATCAATCCAGATCAGAAATCATAACCTAACTAACCTATTCAAAAAGGTAAAAAAAAAAAACCTCCCACAAACATTAAAAAAAAAAAAAAAAGATAAAATGGTGGATCGCATTAGAGCTTTCCGCTGCAGCACAACGGCCCAGGCTTCCCGAGCCATCGCCCTGAAGCGGGAGCTCCGCCCCTCCGCCCCATTGGCTCGCTCGAGGAAGAGGGCGCCCAGCGCGATGTGTTTACGTCACGGTTCCGAGAGAGCAGCGGCCAATGGGACCTACCCGCTCGCGGGCTCCCGACGGGCGGCAGCATGCGCAGGAGGAGAAAGTGGGCGGGGGCCTCCGAGGAGGGCGGGGCCGGCGAAGTCACGTGACGCGTCCCTGCCGATGTGGTCAGCGACGGCTGGGGTCACGTGACTCGTTGCCTACGCGCAGTGGGGCCGGGTGCAGATGGCGGACGCCGAGGCTGACGCGGCCCTGCCGCCGGAGATGCAGCGGCTGGCCGCTGGCCTCCGCTCCCGGCTGGGGCAGATGCAGGCGGAGCTGCGCGACCAGGGGGCGGCGGAGGCGGCCTCTTCCAGCGCCTATTGCCGAGGGTTCTGTCAGGTAAGCGGAGGGGGGGGGACGTCCCGGGGCGGGCCTGGGGTGGAGCGGCTTTGGCGGACGAGAACCAGGGGACCGGACCGGACCGGACCTGGGTGCCCCTCGGCCCGGGGGCGGCAGGGCCTGGCGGGGCTGCGCGGAGGGCGAAGGTGGCAGCGAGCCGTTGCCTGGCGCTGGGAGGCGGGG